ATTTTAAGTTACTTAAAGATCTTGAAAATTATTTTCAAGCTGACATACTACAAACATAATTACTATTGAAATTTAAAGTTTGTCAGGATAAAGAGTCAATTATATTGTACCCAATATTACATTTTTCACATTCTTAAAATATATAGAAATAGCATTAGCTTATTTGATGAATAAACCTATGTAAGTTTAGGGGCGCCTGGGTGGCGCAGTCGGTTAAGCGTCCAACTTCAGCCAGGTCACGATCTCGCGGTCCGGGAGTTCGAGCCCCGCGTCAGGCTCTGGGCTGATGGCTCGGAGCCTGGAGCCTGTTTCCGATTCTGTGTCTCCCTCTCTCTCTGCCCCTCCCCCGTTCATGCTCTGTCTCTCTCTGTTCCAAAAATAAATAAACGTTGAAAACAAAAATTAAAAAAAAAAAAAAAAAAAAGAACAACCTATTAAGTTTAGGAAAAACAAACCCAAGCAAAATAAAAAATATTTGCCTAATTATACTTAACATTGATAAATAAGAAAAAGAACATTGGTGGGTTTTCTTAATAACTAAAACTTATCTCATTTGCTAAAGATTTACCTTAACTTGTGATCTTTGATTCTTAAAATTATAAGAATACCTTTTAATGTAGCTGATTTAAAATATGTTAAATTTTCTTCTAGCCTGATAATTTTAGGAATATTCTATTTATATAAGCAGTTATTTATCTAAGTCCATCAGAACAGAGCACCTTTTAATTTAAGAGACAATATAATTGTTTTGGTATGTTTGTCTTCTTCCTCCTGGTAAAGCAAACTTTACTGTGGCCCTAAGATGGGGGCTCTTTTCTCTAGATCCTGCTAAAACTGGAGAGTTGGGGATGAGAGGCTCTTGGATTGCCCCTTCCAACACCTCCATCACATTCAGACTCAGATGAATAATAATCTTGTTTATCATCAGTTTTCTACAGCTTAAATTTTCTCAAGATTTCAGTTTAATTCCAGTTAGTTAACACAGAGTGTTGTATTAGTTTCAGGTGTACAATGTAGTAATTCATCATTTCTGTACATCATCCTGTGCTCGTCATAAGTGCACTCCTTAATCCCTATCACCTATTTCACCCATTCCCTCCTCCTCCCCTCTGGGAACCATCAGTTTGGTCTGTATAATTAAGAGTCTCTCTCTCTCTCTCTCTCTCTCTCTCTCTCTCTCTCTCTCTCTCCCTCCCTCCCTCCCTCCCTCCATCCCTCTCTCTCTCTCCCCCACTCAATCCCTCCCATTTTTCCCCTTTGTTGTTTGTTTTGCTTCTTAAATTCCACATATGAGTGAAATCATATGTTATTTGTCTTTCTCTGACTTATTTTGCTTAGCATTATACTGTCTAGCTGCATTCATGTTGTTGCAAATGACAAGATTTCATTCTTTTTATAGCTGAATAATATTCCATTTCTAAAGCTTAATTTTTGTAAAATAGCTCAAAGATGATGAAACACACAAATAAGCCAGAAGTTTGTGCTACACTGGACATCCAATAATCTTTGTTGCCCATTTTAAAGTCTTTTGCAACTTGTCTAATGTTGTTTGTTCTTACCTGAGTTGTGGAAAAGGCCTTGCTTCTTCATCCATTCATTTTTCTTCTTCCTATCTGACTCCAGCTTTCAGAATATCAGACAGAAATCCTTGCTGCTTCTATAGGTAGACAAAAACTTAAAAACAATGATGATTCTCAGCCTTTATGGCTATGTCTGGTACAAGCTTTCCCTCTGTCACAGCAAGATTAAGCATTCCTTCATGTTCACAAAGAATGAAAAGGGACATTTTTAACAACAGAGAGGTTTTTTGTTTTCAAGAAAAATAAAATACTTCCATTCATTTAGCAAATATGTAATGAGCATATCTGCTTTCTAAAACTCTGTATCATAACCTTTAAAGCCTACAGGTATAGCTTCTGCCTGTCTCTCCAACCTCATCTTATGCCTCTTTCCTACTCATTGTCTTTTTAGTTCTAGGCACATTCTTTACTGCTTTAGAAGCTTTAGTATGTACTTCCCTCTGCCTGGAAGTATGGCTGAATCCTTCATATGGCTGAATCCTTCTCATCCTCACCACCTCTTTTAAAATGGCCTTTCCTTATCTGCTACCCCACCCAATTATTCTCTATCCTAGTACCTGTTTATTTCTTTCATAGCATGTACCACACTTTATAATTATTTTATTTGTTGCTTTACTTATTTTAGTCTGTCTTCACCAGTAAAACACAACAGAACATCTTTGTGTTCTGTTTATTCTTCTTCACCATTAAATCTCTAGCACATATAGAATCCCTGATGTATAATAGGCACTCAAAAATATTTGTCAAACTAAGAAATGAGTGAATGAAAGGCATGTGCTATTCACTAGGGGTTTGTTATATATACACAAGGTTTCTACGCTTACAAACTGTATAGTCTAGTAAAGTATATATACCAATCATCAGGCAATTGCAGTATAACCTATGTGTGTGATATCAGAAGGACATAGTGTTATAACAGCACATAAGGTCTGGAGATTTTTGCTCCTACTATAATACAGTGGCTTATTTGGACCAAGCTTCCCACCAAGAACAACTATAAAAGCTATATAAATTTTTTAAATTTTTTAAATAAAAAAAAGAGAAGAAAAAGCAGGTGTCTGAAGAGAACAACCGAGGTACCCAGGATTTAAGGCACCAAGATCTCAGAGAAAAGCGAAGGACAGAGATGTAACACTAGAATTCTCTGCCACATTTTTCCTCAAAGCATTTACTAATTCCTAAGCCAGAGGGATGGGGGGAGGTGTAATGGTAGAAGAGGCCAAGAAGCCAACCATAACAGAGTAGATAAGAGGCTAAGAAAATAAACAGAATTTTAGCAGTCTTAGTTCAGGGCCTGCAGTGGGGAGGGGCCCTGGCAAATATCTCAGGCTCTTAGTTTAAACCTTTGAAGTGCTCTAGGAATAAGGACGAATAGGAAATATACCAGCCTTAGCAAAGACTGGAATTTTTTTAGTCAGAAATATTGTGTAGGTGTGGAAATGCAGAAAGGACTAAAGAACAAAAAGAAGTGTTAATATGTGGGTAAATGTAAATGACTATTGATTGTATAAAATAATAATGTCTTATGAAGTTAAAATTGGTTTGTATATAAATATTATATATTAAATCATAAATGTAGAGTATATGTTTGTATAATATATAGAGAAATATATATAATAGTTATATATATACACACATACATACACTAAATATATACATACTAAATATTATATATACTAAATATTTATATAGAACATATGGTACATTGTAGCCCAAAAAGCAGAGAGGAATAAATGTAGTTAGCATATTTTAAGTCTCATGCATTGTCTGGGAAGTAATAAAAATATCAAATTATAGTATACTATAATAATTCAAGGATGCATATTATAATCTCTAAAATAACCACTAAAATAGGGGACGCCTAGGTGGGTCAGTCAATTAAGCATCCAACTTTGGCTTAGGTCATTATCTTGTGGTTTGTGACTTCGAGCCCCTCATCAGGCTGTGCTGACAGCTCAGAGCCTGGAGCCTGCTTTGGATTGTGTCTCCCTCCCTCTCTGTCTGCCCCTCCCCTGCTTGCACTCTGTCTCTCAAAAATGAATAAACATTAAAAAAAATTAAAATAACCACTAAAATAATAATAAAAAAACTAGTAACTAACAAGCTAATTGAAGAGAAAGAAATTAAAATAACAAAAAAAATGGTGAATTCAAAAGAAGAAAAGATGAAATAAAAACAGAAGTAACAAATAGTAGGGTGATAGTCTTAAACCCAAATGTAGCAGAAATTGTATTAAATGTAAATGGACTAGATCCTCCGATTAAAAATTGTCATCCTGGATTATGAAAAGACAATAAATTGTATCATGGTAATAAAGGGCCCACCTTAAACGGAAAGATACAGCAAACTGAAAGAAAAGATTAGAAAAAAATTGCAATAAAAGATAGCTGGTGTGGCTGTATATGGTGACTTGATCAGATTTGTTTTCAGATCTCTCTTACTACTGTGGGGGGGAATGAATTGGAGGAGGGCAAGACTATTGCCAAGGAGACATATTTCAGTAATCCAGGTGAGATGATGTTGGCTGAGGGTGTGGAGATAGAAGGGAACAGATTTTTAAAATAAAGTATCCTAAGCTTGTACAATATTTAAATTTTAGTAAGTGACTAGACTTACTCTTAGATTAATGAATAGGAAACTCAGCAATAGAGCTAGAGGTTGAGAAATTTTAAAGACTGCAGTTTGTTTTCTTTATGTCTACAAAACCAACCGCATGGCAGTGTTGCCTTTCATTTTCAAAGGTCAGGTTTTGTCAAACCACTGTGGATTGGTTGTAACTTTAAGCTGGTTGTGTTTTTGTTGGCAGAATATACATTTGGAACAATTAAACTCCCTTTACTCTGTTTCAGAGCTCCCTCCCTATTTTTTATTTTAGTTGACTTACTTAGATTTGGCAGTCTGTGGGCAAATGTCCAAGTCTTTCCTCAAGGAATGTGTGCATTATTTTAAGTCCATTAAGTAAAATAATATAGTATACATACATGTGGTTTCCCTGCCCCAGCACAACTTCTTAAGCTTCTTATTTGCTAACATCCTTTCTCAGACATAAAATTCTATATTAAAAGAGAAACAGTAACCTATCAAGTAATGATTTATATGCTAATGTGGTTATTTGGTTTATTATCTAATTGTACTAGAATGTATTTTTTATGAAAGCAGGGACATTGTCTCTTTTGCTCAAGCCCATATCCCCCTGTACCCAGATTAGTACTCAGCATATACCAGGTACTCAATATTGAGAATAAATGAATGACAAGAATGAAGAGATGAAGGAATATTTGTCTTAAGTAAATCAAATTCACTAAAATAAGGTGTTTCTTTTCATTTCAATCTTATAAATTCATTTTATTTTCATTTGAAGTTTTGAAAGTCTGATATTAGAATGTTTGAAAGTAAAGTGATTATTTTTCATATTTGCAGGACTATCTCAAGCAGGTGCTGGACATTGATCTTCATGCTCAGATCCATTTTGGCAGGGTTTTTATGAAACCAGGGTATGAAAATAATCTTGTTATCTCATATATGGGGTTGGCTTGGCTTGCTTTGACTAACAAAGTTTTAAATGTTTTCTTTTTACATTTTCTATTATGGATTATTTATTCTAATAAAAAAAATAGTATTAGAATTCCTTGCATCAGTGTAGCGCCTACCTGAAATGGGAATTCATCTTCTTTATGAGTCACTGGGTTTATTATAAACAAAGCAAAGCAATTTTCCAAACCTTTTCTCTGTAGTTCCCATGTCTAGTTCCTTCTTTCTCTTTTTCTCTTTCTCTCCATACTGCTGCTTTCTCTCCTTTCAAAAACATTTTAGTATGAAAATTCTCAAAATGCACAAAAATAAGGAGTACAGTGAAACCCCCGTGTACCCATCACCTAGCTTCAGTAACTATCACCATTTTCCCAGACTGTTTTATCAATCCTCCCTTCCCTTTTTGAGAGGACAGAAAGCTAGATTGTTTGTTGGGTTGTTTGTTTGTTTTGGGTTTTTTTTGTTTTTTTATTGCTTTAAAGCAAATTCTACAATGTCATTTTGGTATACATCTCAAATAATAATAACGATAACAGCAGCATTCTCTTGTGTAATCACAGTGGTATTCTTACCTAACAAAATAAATAAGAGTATCTTAATATCATCTAATACCCTGATCATATTCAAAATTCTCCCAAATGTTAAGAAAAAGAATGTCTTTGGGGAGCCTTGATGGCTCAGTTGGTTGAACATCCAACTCCTGATTTTGGCTCAGGTTATGATCCCAGGGTTGTGGGATTAAGCCCCATATCGGGCTCTGTGCTGAGTGTAGAGCCTGCTTAAGATTCACGCTCTCTCTCTCTCTCTCTCTCTCTCTGTCTCTCTCTTTCTCTCCCTTTCTCCCATTCTCCCTTTCTCTGCCCCTGTCCCCAGCTCGTATTCTCTCTCTGTCTCTCAAAATAAAAAAAATAAATTAAAAAAAAGAGAGAATGCCTTCTTACATGCTTTATTTGAATTAGAATTCATCAGTTCCACAAGCTGTATTTGGTTACTAAATCTGTATTGAATAAGAACATTTACCTCTACCCTCCTTTTTCATGCCATTGACTTGCTGAAGAAACTGAATCATTTGTCCTAACAAATGGATTTGGCTAATGGCTCCGTTGTGGTGGTGGTGGTGAACTTGTTCTGCTCTCTTTCCAGTATGTTGTATGGACTAGAAGTTAGATCTAAAAGCTTGATTAGATTCAGATTCAATTTTTCTTCCCTTTGCAAAAATACTTCATAAGTACTCTTTCATACTGCTTCTTACCACCTCCTGGGAAAAAGAAGAATAACCACATACCAAGATCTGGCACATCTCCTAAAGCTAATAACTCCCTAAGGAAAGGCTGATGGAGGTTCTGTAATCAGTTATAAATCCTCAAAGAATGCCAAACAATGGTGTTGATGAAAATGTGTGGCCATGTCTTTAAGCAATAGTTTGCCTGTTCAGACCTGTTACTCTATAAACTTTTCCTTCCCCATTCAAAGGCTTCAGTGTAGAGGTGAGCATTCAAATTCTAGCACACCTCCATGCTGTCAGGGACAACAGTAATTATGCTTTCGTTTCAGAATTATACTCTGATGGGTATTCATGTGAACCCTAAGAGAGAGTAGAGGTGAGACATCAGTTGTTAGGAGTGAGCTATGGGAACATCATAAATTTCAGAAACCTTTTTTAAGTATAAAGGCATCCCTCCTCAACTCCCCGATTTATTGGTTACCTCTCATCAGGTCTAGGATTAGGCTTTATCACCATGATTTTACCATTTAAGTATGAAGTTAAGATTAACCCTAAAGTCTTCTCCACAATTTGATAGAATGTAAAATTCCTGGTATTATATTTCTGTAGTTGCCCCAATATGGCTACTGCTAACAAAGTCCTTTTATTATTGAGACTATTGAATTTGAATCATTCTCATTAAGAATATTTTGTCTTAAGTAAATATTATTATGTTGTGAGTGCACAGGCATTTTTTCCCATCCCTGTAGGCAGTACTAATTTGATTAGAATACAGAGGACATCCCAAAAGCATGTCAGTGTGCTTCTCAGTAATCTCAAAAATTGAATTGACTGTTCTTTTTGTAGTGAGAAAGAAGCTGATATTAGTTGCCCTCACCTCTAGAGGAGAATTATTTGTAATATCTATTATTTAAGTCAATCTCAGCACCTGTGATGTATAATTTTGATACTATTTTATTTTCAGTTTATCTTTTTACCACTTCAACTTAACGCTCTCATCAGTTCCTAACATTTATTCTCCTCCCTTAAAGTCATAACACTCTGCGACCTCAGTCATTGTATAAATGCTGTTACATTCTGATCTCAAGAGGAGAACTGAACAATAGGTGCTGAGTTAGAAGGAAATGGCTTACCAGAACTTAAACAAAAGCTTCACAGTCTTGTAATAGGACACTCATGATAGCAGTGCATGATAAAATGTTTTGTTGTAATGGAATGCTTTTTAAATGAGTACCTTTAGAGAAATCACAGTACCTGTCTGCAAGATGTAAAAGATAATTTAAATTGGCTTTAAATACAGTAGAAGGAAAGTATTATGCATTCCCTCCTCACTCTTATTATGTGTGTTAGTTTGCTATAATAAAATAGTTTAGAAGTTTAAGTGGGCTTCCTTTTACTTGGCCAGAATTTATACTTGTCTAAAGATAAGAATTTAAAAGTAATTGCTCCTTAATAGTAGAACAAGAAGTATAAAAAGCTCAAGAACAATTTAGCTTTGCTCTTCCCACATACAGTACATTAAGAATGTAATTAACCTCTTTCATTTTAGACACAGAGATATTCAAAAAGACATTTGAAGTATTACCAATCAGGACTACGAATCACAATTCTATGGGTCGTCTACAGTGAACATAGCTGTTGCCAGGAGTGTATCTTGGAAATTATTTTCATCACATAGTAACAGTCATTGCCAAATAACCTATTCATAAATTGGTATGATAATGTAATCTAGTTTTTTCTAAAATACAGCCAAGAATCAGGAAATAAGCAAAAAGGGCCTCAGAGTAGCCAAAAATAGATGTTACATAGTACACATACTAACACTTCACAGTAGACCCTCTGAGAGCCTTGTCCAATTATGAGCCATAAAATTAAAAGAATCTTGGTTCAAATCTTTGTTTTCCCATTTAGTAGCTAAGTGATTTGAGCCAAATTTCTTAATCTCTGAGTCTTAGTTTCCTCATCTATAAAATGGGATGATACCTGTTACTTCATGGGATTGTTGTGAAAGTTAAATGAAATAATGGATGTAATGCATAGATGTTTCTTTCAAAATAATAACATTACTATTATTTTTATCATTCTGACAATATAATTATTACTAATCCTCTCTGGTTCCTAAACCTAAAGCCAGCTTTAAGGGACAAGATGATGGAGCCTAGCATGAAGGGGAGCCACAGAAAAAAACTAAGGGAAAAGAGACAAGAACCTCAGTGTGTGGGATGAAGTTATGGTTTATAGGTGAAAACAATGCACAATATACCCTTGTGACCCTACATCACTGTAGGATAGCAGAGTAGAATAAGTTAATAATGATAGTTGTGAATCATCAAAAAAATGTTAATGTTCATTATATTATTGCAAAAGCTAATAATGAGTGATCCATTTTTGAAAGACAAAGTTGCAAAAATAATAAAAATGATTTAGGTACTGAAAGAGATAATTTTTCAACTATATGGAAATTTTAACATTTCCTAATGATTCTACATTACTCAAGTTTCATTAATATAAGGAAATCTTAGCTAAAAGTTTATATAAAGCATAATCAATAGAAAAAAATATCACTATTCTTGACTGCCTGTCCACTCTATGCCACTTACACTCAGCCCTCTCCCACACCCCCATGATCAGGATTCATGTCAGAATCTTGAGGAAGTATAATTTATAAATATTTTTAAATTAATAGTTTTGTTCTAGTCATGGTATTTTATTTATTTTGACATTTCAAAAAAATCCCTTCATAAAAAGCCAGTGTTGTGTTTATTGCTGAGTATAGTTTTAAATGGTTGAGGAGTACTCATCTTGAACAACAGGCAGTTATCTGATAGACTATCACCAGCTAGTCTTGCAGTAATAAGAATGATTGTTGTAGATCTCCAGCAAAAATAGTATGGACATTATCAACTAGAAGGGTAGAGAAACTCCAGGATTTGAGATACACTTCTCTGGCACTAGCAGGAAATGGAAAAAAAAAAAAAAAAAAAAAGCTACAGAAAACCAGGAAGTTTGGTTACTTGAAAATAAAGATGCTAAAAATAAATTAATGTAAATGCTTTTGAAACAATTCATGGTATAAAGGTTTAAAGAAGAGTCAACAGAAAGGTATTTTTATATGATAAATACTCTATATGGAAATCCACATAGCAAGAAAACTGGAGTACTTAATTTACTTGTCACATTACTTAGCAGCCCCTAACAAATGATCTCTTTCATTCTCTAGCCTGCCAACAACATTTGCAACCTTGGATATTGATGGTGTAAGAAAAATAATCTTTGCACTACCAGGTAAGAATAGTTGAAACAGTTTCTTTTGCTTTTCCTATAAAAATGATCAAAATCATTCTGAAACCCAGGTGACCAGTTCCTTATCAGAGCACTCCATTTGGAATCTGAAAGACCTGGGCTCAAGACCCAGCTTTACTTACTGTATGACCTTGGGCAAATCACTTACACTTTTTGAAGCTGTTTCTTCATCTATACAATGGGCTAAAGCCTACTTTGTATGATTGGTGTAAAAGTCAAATTAGATAGTATCTTTCAAAGTATATCCCAAACCCTAAAATGGTAGCCAAGTGTTAACTGTCACTAGATCTATCTGGGCTACCTGCTTTTCCTTATAAAAAATTGGTCTAAGTTAGCAGTCTAATCACCTCCCATAGCTAGAAGTATTGTGTTCATAAGTCCAAAGGGCCTTGAATCACCCATGAAAGTAAATGGTAAACAAAAAAAAAAAAAAAAAAAAAAAAAAAAAAAATACAAAGCTGGCTTTTGTTCTTGCCAGATTTGTACTGGGATGGGGCAGGCAACATGGAATGAGGGGTTTCTCAGCCAAACCCCAGGCATCATCAGTCTGACCATATCACTGTCCCCCATCCTCGCTCCCGTGTGAACAGAAACTCACATGTTCAGACAGTAGAAAAAGCGAAGTGGTTCCGTTTATAAAGACTTTCAGTCAGTTTTTTATTGATTTTTGGCTTGCAGTTAAAGCCATGCTTTTAAAGTCATTACCAATCTTGATAAATTCTAAAGCAGTTTAGAGGTTTTGTGTATCTACTTGTTATTTTTTCCAGCTTTTAAAATTATCCTCTGATCTGTAGCAGCATCCTATTCTCTATGTTTTCGGACAGATTCCTTCAGAAAATAACCTGCTTATTCCTTTCAGATGCACAAATCTGGTGACTTTGGGATACTTATCTGCTTTTGATAGTAAATGAATCTCAAAATAGAGTATAAGGAAAGGAAGACAGGCAGAAAATTTTGAAAAGCATTTTTTGGAGTTTTGAATTTTGAAAGCATTTCTAAAGCTCCTATCTATAAGCATAAAAGATTAGGTTTATATCCTACAGGAAATGTTAAGAGAGAAGACTGTTAAGTAAAGTAGTCCTCAAATGTATCTGTAGTAAAAACTCCTTAGGGCCTTTAAGGTATGTATGCTCAGATCCTCTGGAAAAATGTGATTCTCTTCCTAGCTTCATTTTGCCTAGAAAAGACTGTTACTTTGTCTACAGAAGACAGGACTTGCCCTATAGACAAAGAATTATGCTGGGAGCCTACTTTGCCTTTACTTATGAACTATTGTTCATCTGCCGAAGAAGTTATAATTAAATAACCTATTTTCAAATTGCTACTTTCATTTGAAATTTTCTCAGCCCAGCCTCAGTGAACCAAAAGAGGGCAGCAACAACCCAGATGTTCAGATTGTGGAATCAGTAAAGTGGTTCCTTTTAAAAGGATTTTAAAATTCATGATTGTATTTCTGCTTTTCTGAAGGCTGCACATTTAAAACTGTTACTAATCTTGATAACTTTGTTTGTTTGTTTGTTTGTTTTGAAGAGAGAGAGAGAGAGACAGCATGAGCAGGAGAGAAGGAGGAGTAGAGAGAGAGGGAGACACAGAATCTGAAACAGGCTCCAGGCTACAAGCTGTCAGCACAGTGCCCATTGTGGCTCAAACTCACAAACTGTGAGATATTGACCTGAACCGAAGTTGAACATTTAACCAACTGAGCCACCAGGAGCTCCTAATCTTGATAACTTTTAAAGCAGTTTAAAAGATTGATGTAGGGGCGCCTGGGTGGCTCAGTCGGTTGAGCGTCCAACTTCAGCTCAGGTCACGATCTCATGGTCTGTGAGTTCGAGCCCCGCGTCAGGCTCTGGGCTGATGGCTCAGAGCCTGGAGCCTGCTTCCAATTCTGTGTCTCCCTCTCTCTCTGCCCCTCCCCCATTCATGCTCTGTCTCTCTCTGTCTCAAAAATAAATAAACGTTAAAAAAAAATTTTTTTTTTAATTTAAAAAAAAATTTGATGTATCTACTTGCCTTTTTTTTTAACTTTTTAAAATTACTGTAATAACATATGTTCACTATAAAAACATTAGAAAATACAGGTAAACATTAAGAAATGTTATTGGTAATCCCTTCCCCCCTACACACAAAATAACCACTATTTGCAATTGTTTGCGATCCATTTTCAATTAGAGTAATTTTATAAAGCAGCAGCATTACAAGAATGCTGTCATCGTTGCTGAACAATAGCTTTTTTCTTTTTTCTTTTTTTTTTGCTTTCCCAGAAACATATTCATCTGTGTATTTTGAGACAGGTGAAAAGCAATTAATTCTCATTAAGAGTCTGCTGTGCTGTTGGGCAAGACAACTCATTTTTCTATTGAAATTATTACTATTACTCATCACTTTTTACAGCTTAAAAAAAATCTATTCTTAACTACTTTTGTGGGTAGAAGAAAATTAAAGGTATGGTTTTAGCTAATAATAGGCTAAACCATTGCCTTTTACTTTGATGATGCAATTAGCAGCACAAGCCAGGCCAAGGGAAACTAAAAATCTAATAGTCGATCCCAAGCCCTCCGCGTACATATACATGCTCGATACCACTGGATTAATGTGTTAGTAAAATTGGAATTTTAGACCCAGGAGGGATATTGAGAGGCATGTAGTCCAAACCTTTCATTTTGGGAAGAGTAAAATTAGATTCAGAAAGGTTTGGAACTCACTCGGGCCGCTCAGTTTATTTAGTTAACAGTACCACACACGAAACGAAATCTGTGATTCTCAGCACAGTCATTTTTTTCATTGCCCACCTTTCTTTCCTTCGAAGTGCATGACCCACCCAGATTTCTTCTTGGAGGGGTACAACTGAATTCTTCAAGTTTTGCTTATAATTTTAAAAGAACTTGGTATTTCTATTAGTCTGCCCAGACTTCCATAACAGACTATCACAGACCAAATGGCTTAAGCAACAGAAATTTATTTTCTCACAGTTCTGGAGACTGGGAGTCTAAGATCAAGATGCCAGCAAGGCTGGTTTCTGTTGAGTCTTTCTTCCTGGTTTGCAAACGGCCAACTTCTCACTGTGTCCTCACATGCCTTTTTTTCTGCGTACATGTGCTCCTGGTGTTTCTCCCTCTTTTTATACGGACACCAGTCTTATTGGATTAGGACCTCATCCTTATGACCTCATTTAACTTTGATTACCTCTTTAAAGGCCCTATTATCTATAAATACAGTCATATTGGGTGTTAAGACTTCAACATATGAATTTGCAAGGGACACAATTCAGCCTATAACAGTATTCCTCTTCAAGTCCTTCTCAGCTTAAATTGTTTAGTTTTATTTTTTTAATTTAAAGAGATTTCTGGGTAGAGGGGGGTTATGGATACATTTCTTTGTGCTTAACATATTTTCTAAATGTTTTTGTACAGAGCTTGTATTACTGTGGCAATTTTAAAATATTTTAAAAATAGCAGGTACAATCTGCTTTAAAACTTACAAAGATTAGTAATGACTTTCAATGTTTAGTTCCCAGGAAATTGGAAATAAAAAACTGTGTTAAACAGTTTCAGGGAATCAGAAGTTTCTGCATTTCACCGGAAGACAAATGTTTATACCTTCTGTGGTATTTGGTTGACTGTAGCTCTTTTCTGGCATCCTTCAGGATTTAAGGTGATTTAGAAGATTAGGAGTTAGTGGTTAGTCACTTCACTCTTTATGATGCCTGAAGGTATAGACAATTGTAATTTTTTGGCAAATTTTTATACGTATACTATAAATAACTGCTTGGTTGACTTTCAGGGAATCCTGTGTCAGCCGTGGTCACCTGCAACCTCTTTGTTGTGCCTGCACTGAGAAAGATGCAGGGCATCTTGGATCCTCGGCCAACCATCATCAAAGCCAGGGTAATGTTTTCTAAATGACAAGGAACCAAAACTGAAGCCTAATAACAATTAAGGATATGATTTTCCAACTGCCCAAAATAAACATCCAGAATTTTGTAATCGTTGTGAGGGAAAATGTAGTTATATTCTCCCTATCATGACAGAAATGGAGGGGAAAGGGTCCCATTTATTCCCAGCCCACATTATTCCACAACTTCTAAAGTAAATAATTTTTTCTGGCAGAATCCATATGGAAGTGGGTATGTAATGATAAAATGGCAAATAGAATGAGACTGGCACTACCCTAAAATAAACCTATACGGAAGGAGGGACAAGAATTCCCTTTCAGCTGTGTAAAGTCACACAGCCGACTGTTTATCTTCTCACTTTTTCCGCAACCTCTCTGATAAATTTTAAACAATTTGGAAAAAGACAAAGGACTAGAAGGAGACTAGCGAGTTAAAATAAAACGTTGACCACATTGTTAGGAAAAGGACAACTAAGCCTAAGAAATTATACTTGGTTAAAAGGCCACTTAGAAATTAGAGTCCCCCTTCTCCACCAACACTACAGTTTGATTTACTACTACTCAACTAATTATGTAACACAATTTCTATATAACTAATAATTAATTCTCTTGGCAATGTGACCTACAGTATCAAACCATTGCTTTTTTTTAAAAGCTTGATTGAGATACAATTGACATACAAAAAATTACATATATATAACATATATATTTTGACGAGACATATGCATATGCCCATATCATCACCACAGTCAAGGTACTAACATATTTATCACCTCCATAAACTTTCTGTGTTCTTTTGTGGTTTTATTTGTTTGATTTGTGGTATGAACATTTAACATGAGAACTATCCTCTTAACATATTTTAAAGTGAAGAACACCATGTTGTCAACTATAGGTACTGTGTAGTACAACAGATCTCTAGAACTTACTCACCTTGTATAAGAGAAAATTTATACCCATTGAAAAACAATTCCCCATGGCCCACTCCCCTCAGCCTCTGACAATCACCATTCTATTCTCTGCTTCTATGACTATTTTTTTTATAAAGGGCTTTTTTTTTTAAGTTTGTTTATTTGTTTGTTTGTTTATTTATTTTGAGAGAGAGAGAGAGCACATGAGTGGAAGAGCAGCAGAAGGAGGGAGAGAATCCCGACCAGGCTCCACACTGTCAGCGCAGAGCCCAATGTGGGGCTCCATCCCACTAACTGTGAAATCATGACCTAGGTGAAATCAAGAGTCAGATGCTTAACTGACTGAGCCATGCAGGTGCCCCTGTGACTGACTATAATACCTCAAATAAGTGGAATCACTCAGTATTTATCCTTCTGTGACTGGTTTATTTCACTTAGCATAATGTACTCTAGGTTTATCATATTGCCACAAATGGTAGGAATATCTTTCTTTTTTAAAACTAAATAATATTTCATTGTATTAATATAGCACATTCTCCTTCTCCATTCATCTATCAATAAACATTTGAGTTGTTTACATATCTTGGCTATTACGAATAATGTTACAGTAAACATGAGAGTGCAGATGTCTCTGAGATCCTGATTTGAGTTCTTTAGGATATATACCCAGAAGTAGAACTGCTCAATCATATGTTCTGTTTTCAACTTGGGGGGGGACCTCACACTGTCTTCCACAGTAGCTGAACCATTCTACATTCCTACCAACATTATATCCAGATTCCAGTTTCTCCACATTGTCGCCAATACTTATCTTTTGTGTTGTTGTTGTTGTTGTTGTTTTAATAGCTATCCTAACAGTTGTGAGATGGTATGTCATTGTGGTTTTGATATGCATTTACGTATCTTCTTTAGAGAACTGTCTATTCAAGTCCTTTGCCCATTTTTAAATCAGGTTATTTGTCTTTTTGCTATTGACTGGTAAGAGACTCTTATATATTTTGAATATTAACCCTTTATCAGATAGATGGTTTGAAACATTTTCTCCCTTTTCATAGGTTGCCTTTCCATACTGTTGTTTCCTTTGCTGTGCAGAAGCTTTTTAGTTTGATATATACTGGATATGTATTTTTTATACATAAAATACTGGATATGTATTTTTTATTTTGACAATTATGGATAATTGTCTATTTTTTATTTTGTGGCTTGTGCTTTTGGTGTCAAATACAAGAAATCATTGCCAAGACCAATATCAAAGAGCTTTTCCTGTATGTTTTCTTGTATTTTTACTGTTTTGGGTTTTAAATATAAGTCCTTTATCCATTTTGAGTTAATGTTTGTGTATTGTGTAAAAAAGGAGTCCAAATTTAATCTTCTGCATATATATATCCATTTTTCCAATACTTAAACTGTTATTTTTTGAGAGCTTTGAAATAAATTCCAATGTGACAGAATGCTATGATTAGTTGACAGGAAGAACACAAGGCATAGAGGAGGAAGAAGGAATATTTATAAAATATTATTGTGAGAATATATTGGATAAAACATTAAGGAAACCTAAGCTTCAGGTATTCTTTCTTTTTAATATTTTTAATGTTTATTTTTTATTTTTGAGAATGAGAGAGAGAGACAGAGTGCAAGCAGAGGAGGGGCAGAGAGGGAGACACAGAATCCGAAGCAGGCTCCAGGCTCCAAGCTATCAGCACAGAGCCTGACATGGGGCTTGAACTCACAGACTGAGAGATCATGACCTGAGCCAAAGCTAGATGCTTAAACCAAATGAGCCACCCAGGTGTCCCTAAACTTCAAATATTCTTAACATTGACCTTTTAAATATTGAGATTTTGTAGGCCAGCATATGAAGAGATATCCTCCTTTTCCTAAAATTTTAGTAAAAGCTCAACTATATATTCTGAAAACAGATTATCGGGGGATTTTCCAATAATCACGGTGGTGGTCTTATTTTAAATTTAATGGAAAAAGAAGAAAAACAGCCATCAGTAAACAAAAAGTATTCTGATCAAATCAGAAGGTCAGAGTCATAAAGCTTAGACATCTAAACCAATAATATGAATTTGCTCACCATTTTCATATTTGCTAAATTTAGAAAATAAGAAAAATCTGCATTGTTATAAGAGAGAAAAAGAGGATTTCTCTTTGACTTTGCAAAGTTCTTATGAATCCTTTCATTTATTTCTCATCTTAACATTCATTATCTCTTCTCTAAAACTGACATTGTGGCAGCTATCCTTTCTGACAACAGTGATGAGCTAGAGCTCTACAATCACACTGATGCATGGTACATTGTTCACACTGCTGCTCACTCCTGTCAACTCATGGAATTGAGAATTAGTCTAAGAATCAGTCAAACTCCCTTCTCCCACAGAGCAGTGTCACTGGGACTGTCAGATGGGTCATCAGTGTCCTTGGCTGTTTACTTCTTTTGGTTTTAACTCCTAAAATCACCCCCACACCTTTCCTGACATAACTGTCACTTTTAGAACATAACTTTATTCACTTCCTTGAAACATGGTAAAGCCTCTTGTCTGTGTTTTCTGACCATCCAATATGCAGCTTACAGACACCACTTATTACTGTTCTCCAAAATGGCCACCAAAATCACAGCCTCTCCCAATCCTTACTGCTTTCAGACAGTGAGGTAGTTATTAAATGCTGGTGTCGGTAACTCGTAGTGCTGGTTCTGATATAGCTGTCCTGTGGTTAGGGCAATGCTGCATTATTTTGAAAGGTCAACAGAAAAAATGTCATCTTTTGTATCAGTGCATTCTGACATCAATTTAGAACACTTGCACCATAACCTGGGTCAGTTATGATTGAAGTTGAAATACTTCTGGCTTTCAGTAGGCAATTAAAAACGTAACCTTAATTCACTGAATTATTAACCTAATGCTTCTACAAACAGATATCCTTTTGTGTTTCCTTAACACATTTCCTTAATATCCCATCAAAGTGCCCTCTACTGCCCCTTGTTCTCAACTCGTTTCTCTAGAAATATACCTTACACAACTCCTATTAGTATTAACAGCCCATCTCAGGCAATGATTAAGAGAAGGGAAAGGGAAAATATTTTCATCTCCCATGGGATTAGGCCAGCATGTGCTGGGAGAGTATGGGCATGTTGAACTCTACTGGGCTATTCCAAGTTTCACATCTTATCTCTTCTCTTGAGCATTATTGTCTTCCTGCTATGAGAACTTCATGAATGCTTTCTGGCTGATGTCATAAACAGTAAAATACAAAGCATCTTAACAAAATGTTTATTTTGTTGGAAAATCACTAAGGTGTTTGCAGCTGTAGAGAGAAATATGATTATTTATTGTGACAAGATCAGTCATTGATCTTTAAAAATGTTATTGGATGCCTATTATATCATAATATTGTGTCCTATAGATTAAAAAATGGATATGGAAAATTATAGGACTTTCCATGATTTATAAGAGATGTAAATCAGTTTTAACGTATTAGGAAATGAAAAATATATAAATGAAAATATAATTTATAAAAATTTTGGAAAAGTTATTTTGAAACTGATCCATAGCAGCATGTGCAAGCATTTTAAAGTTACATGATAAATTTTAGATAAATGATTTACAGGGTAAATAAACTCAAGGATCTCTGTGGTAGACTAATGAAATCAGCGCCTCGTAACTTTTATAGCACTTACCAAAAAAGTTAACGTAAAGCTGCCTGAGCCACTCTTTGGAAGCTTTGACCAGATTGGAGCAAAGTCCAGGCCCCCAGCATCAACCAGGGCTTTGCGCATGTTATCTTAGGCCCCCACCCAAGTAGAATCCCCTTTGGTCATCTGTTTTCTCACAAATTCTTTTCTCCAATCTGTACAGTCCTGCATCCCAACCTATTCCCTTGAACCTTCTGGAGTTTTCACTTTTTCCTCATTCAGGTCTTTGGCAAGTGTCTCATAGTCTACCTCTCTAGCTCACCTCTTACCATCAATTGCTTTATTTCTACAATTCTAAATATCTTTATTTCTACTTCAGCAAGTCACTTCCAATACCCTGAAGTACTTCATCCCAAAATCACCAACTCTGGTGTACAATTTAGGA